TCTTTCATGTTAATGTACTCAGCTCTTGTGTTTATCCTCTGCAGAGATGATGGACACTGCATGATATGCCTCTTGTCCATGGAATTGAATAGACAAGACCCTGAGTCTGTTGCCAGCAGGGAACGTGAATAAATGCTGAAGCATAGCCTTCTGTTCCCAAAGGGCCAACACATCTCAAAGACAAACAGAAGAGGCTAGAGAGGCATGATGGCTCTCCCCTCTAATTCCAGCAGTTTCTGAGGTTGAGGTGGGCAGGTCACTTAAGCTTAAGAGTTCCAGACCAGCCTGGGCAGCACGGCAAAACCCTATCTCTACCAAAAAAAAATGTGTGTGTGTGTGTGTGTGTGTGTGTGTGTGTGTGTGTGTGTGTGTGTACACAAAATTAACCGGGCATGGTCGTTTGCACCTGTGGTCCCAGCTGTGTAGGAGGCTGAGGCAGGAGGATCTCCTGAGCCTGGGGAGGTTGAAGCTGCAGTGAGCAGCATCACTGCAGCCTGGGCATCAGGGTAAGACTAACTTAAAAAAAAAAAAAAAAGGAATAGCTCCCTGCTCCTAACTTAACCTTTTTTTTTTTTTTTTTTTGACAATGTCTTGCTCCATCACCCAGGCTGGAATATAGTGGCATGATCACAGATCACTGCAGCCTCAACCGCCTGGACAAAAGAGGTTCTCCCACTTGAGTCACCTAAGTAGCTGAAACTACAGGTATGCACCATCACTCCCAGCTAATTCTTTTGATTTTTAGTAGAGATGGGGTCTCAGTATGTTACCCAAGCTGGCCTCAAACTCCTGGACTCAAGTGATCCTCCTGCCTTGGCCTCCCCAAGTGCTGGTATTACAGGTGTGAGTCACCATGCCTGGCCTAACTTAGCCTTTGAAGTCAAGTGCTCTGACCCCAGAATGAACCACTCCAAAGAAACCCAAAACTCATATTTGATCCATTTGAAAGCAGGACCCATAATCCAAGAGGGAAAGTCAAAAATAAGTGGGTCAGCTGGGCGCAGTGGCTCAAGCCTGTAATCCCAGCACTTTGGGAGGCCAAGGCGGGTGGATCACAAGGTCAGGAGATCGAGACCAACCTGGTCAACATGGTGAAACCCCATCTCTACTAAAAATACAAAAAATGAGCTGGGCATGGTGGCGCGTGCCTGTAATCCCAGCTACTCAGGAGGCGGAGGTTGCGGTAAGCCCAGATCGCGCCATTGCACTCCAGCCTGGGCAACAAGAGCGAAACTCCGTCTCAAAAAATAATAATAATAAGTGGGTCATTTCCCAGAGAAGAAAAACAGCTCTATGTTTAGAGTAGACATAGATTCATTTCCCAAAAGCAGCATTTAGAAATCATCTCTTTGACTTTAAGTAGGTCAGACTTTGCATCTAGAATTATAGCCATGCCCAATGCCTGCAAATTAATGGGGTTAGTGGGAGGAGAACTTCAAAGTGACAAGACCTGTGAAATTCTCTGCATTGCTGCAAGGCGCTCGGTCTCTTAGTCTGTGGCCCTCTGGCTCCACCTAGGGGCCAAGCAAATTCCCAAGCGCGGGATTCCGTGCCCCACCCAGCCTCCTCCTACCTGGGTCCATCTCACAGGGCGGTCTTGCTACACAAATCACAAACATTCCCTCACTCCAACTTTTAACAAGTCTGTGATTAAGACGAAAACCACACAGTCAAGAATAATTCTATTTTTCCTTATGATAATAAAAAGCTGAGGTATAATTATATGTTTCTCAAGGGCCTTGAAGAAAAATGATGTTGGTTTTATGTATCAAGTAATTGCTGTTTGAAGAGCCAAAGGACCCTGATGTGCTGGAGATATTCTGCACCAGTGCGTGAGTATGGCCAACACACCAGCTCCCAGCCCCACCCTGCAGAGGGCAGACCCCAGGAAGGTGCCCGAGTCACTTCCTCACTGCTGGTAAACAGGCTCCCAGAGAAAGAACTGCTTTCCAACCAAATGCCCACCAGGCAAGGGAGATTGGGATGAAACAACCACTCATTCATCTTGACCACTAGGATCACTCAGAGGGCAGAACTACCTTTTTTTTTTCCAAGACGGAATTGTTGGAGAACCAGTTGTTTTCTGAACTGTTATTCCCAGTGGAAATATCCAGAAGTGGCCCCTCCCTCTGGCTGCCAGCAGCTTTGACATAAAGGAAAGTCTTTTTTTTTTTTTTGATACGGAGTTTCGCTCGTTACCCAGGCTGGAGTGCAATGGTGCAGTCTCGGCTAACCGCAACCTCCGCCTCCTGGGTTCAGGCAATTCTCCTGCCTCAGCCTCCTGAGTAGCTGGGATTACAGGCACGTGACACCATGCCCAGCTAATTTTTTTTATTTTTAGTAGAGACGGGGTTTCACCATGTTGACCAGGATGGTCTCGATCTGTTGACCTCATGATCCACCCGCCTCGGCCTCCCAAAGTGCTGGGATTACAGGCTTGAGCCACTGTGCCCGGCCTGTGAACTACCTTTTTTCCTAGGAGGATGATAACTCAAGTTCGATTCAGTATCAGCAGGAATGATCTGGAGGGGGTTCCTAACTGGTCATGAAGTGGCTAACTGGTTGAGTAAAAATGTTATAAACCAAGAGGTCTGGTGTCCTACAGCTCGAACCCACCTCCAGGCACCTCCTGGCTGTGTGGCCTCAGGTGAGCTCCTTGTCCCCTCTGCACTTCAGTTTTCTTATCTGAAAATGGGGCATAGTATTTACCTTGTAAGGTTTGTATAAAGATTAGATGAGGCTGGGCGCGGTGGCTCATGCCTGTAATCTTAGCACTTTGGGAGGCCGAGGTGGGTGAATCACCTGAGGTTAGGAGTTCAAGACCAGCCTGGCCATGATGGTAAAACCCCATCTTAAATAAATAAATAAATAAATAAACAAATAAATAAAAGGATTAGATGAGTTGCCATGTACACACTGAGAGCAGGGCCTGGTGCACAGGGAGTGGGTAGATGGTAGCACCATTACACCTAATTCATGATTAGCATTCTCAAGGGCCAAACAGGCATTTATTGAGCATCTTATGCATACCAGGCCCTGTGCTGGGCACTAGTATCTTACCTACGATACCACACAGTACAGAAACCATCTCAGTATTCACAAAGTTCACCTGCAGAAAAAATGCACAAATTGTCATTATACAAGGACATACAATGAATGAATGATCATACAATGAATGCACCCATTAACCTGTCCCCAGATCAAGGAAGACAACATCACTAGTACCCCAAAAGGGCTCCTCTTGCTTCTCCCAAATCTGGGGACCTCTTCTCCCTAGGGAATAACCATCCACATCAGTGCTGTGGCATGTCACAGGAATTTGTTCATGCTTGTTGCTGTATAATGTTGCATTGCGTGAATAATGTATACAAGGATCTTTGCATTTCTTTTTTCTTTTCTTTTCTTTTTGAGACAGAGTCTCCCTCAGTGGCCCAGGCTGGAGTGCAGTGGCACAATCTTGGCTCACTGCAGCCTCCACCTCCCAGGTTCAAAGGATTCTCCTGCCTCAGTCTCTCAAGTAGCTGGGATTACAGGCATCTGTCATCATACTGGCTAATTTTTGAAGAGACAGAGTTTCACCACATTGGCCAGGCTGGTCTTGAACCCCTGACCTCAAGTGATCTGCTCGCCTTACTCTCCCAGAGTTTTGGGATTACAGGTGTGAGCCACGATACCCTGCCAAACTGTGACTCATTTAATGTCTGTAGCATCAATAGTGATTCCCCTCTTTCATTCCAGATATTAATGACTGGTAACATTTCTTTTTTCTTTAGTAGTGAAGCTTAGTTGATCAATTTTATTGATGATTTAAACAAATCAGCTTTTGGTTTCAAGTATTTCCTCTATTTTCTAGATTTCTGTTCTTTTTATTTCCTTCCCTTGACATATTTTGGTTCATCTTTTCTAGCTTCTTAAGTTGAAAGTTTAGATAATTGCTTTATTTTTATTTTTATTTTTTTGAAACAGAATCATACTCTGTTGCCCAGGCTGGAGTGCAGTGGGGCAATCTCAGCTCACCACAACCTCCGCTTCCTGGGTTCAAGCGATTCTCCTGCCTCGACCTCCTGAGTAATTGGGATTACAGGGGTTTCACCATGTTGTCCAGGCTGGTCTCAAACTCCTGACCTCAAGTGATACACACACCTTGGCCTCCCAAAGTACTTGGATTACAGGCATGAGTCACCATACCCAGCCAGATAATTTCTGTTGTTTAACAAATAAAATAGTTTTATTTATTTATTTGAGACAGAGTCTTGTCTCAAATAAATAAATGTCACCCAGGCTTGAGTACATTGGTACAATCGTGTCTCACTGCAACCTCCACCTCCCTGGTTCAAGTGATTCTCCTGCCTCAGACTCCTGAGTTGCTGGGATTACAGGTGTGCAACACCATGCCCAGCTAATTTTTGCTGGACAGGGTTTTAGTACAGACAGGGTTTCACCATGTTGTCCAGGCTGGTTTCAAACTCCCAACCTCAGGTGATCCACCCACCTTGGCTTCCCAAAGTGCTGGGATTACAGGTGTGAGCCACCACACTAGCTAATAATTGCTTTCAGATGTTGCTTTCCCAACATAATCCTTTAAAACTCTAACGCATTGCTTTCGCTGTATCCCACAAATCTTGATATGTTGTATTTTCATTTCCATTTAGTTCATAACATTTTTGAGTTTTCCTTGAGATTTCATCTTTGACTCATGAATTGTTTATAAGTCATTGTTTAATTTGTTTAATTTCAGGCCAGGTGCAGTCCCAGCACTTTGGGAGGCCGAGGAAGGCAGATCACCAGAGGTTAGGAGTTTGAGACCAGCCAGACCAACATAGCAAAACCCTGTCTACTAAAAATACAAAAATCAGCCAGGCGTGGTGGCACGCGCCTGTAATCCCAGCTACTCTGGAGGCTAAGGCAAGAGAATTGCTTGAACCCTGGAGGCGGAGGTTGCGGTGAGCTGAGATTGCACCATGTACTCCAGCCTGGACAACAGAGTGAGACTCTGTCTCAAAAAAAAAAAAAAAAAAAAAAAAGCGGGGGGCAGTGGCTCATGCCTATAATCCAGCACTTTGGGAGGCCGAGGTGGGCAGATCATGAGGTCAGGAGATTGAGACCATCCTGGCCAACATAATGAAACCCTGTCTCTACTTAAAATACAAAATTAGCTGGACATGGTGGCACATGCCTGTAATCCCAGCTACTCTGGAGGCTGAGGCAGGAGAATCACTTGAACCAGGGAGTCAGAGATTGCAATGAGCTGAGATCGAGCCACTACACTCCATCCTGGCGATAGAGTGAGACTCCATCTCAAAAAAAAAAAAATTGTTTAATTTCCAAGAATCTGAGGAGTTTCTGGCTATTTTACTTTCTTTTCTTTTTTTTTTTTTTTTTGGATAGAATTTCGCTTTTGTTGCCCAGGCTAGAGTGCAATGGCGCAATCTCAGCTCATTGCAGCCTCCACCTCCTGGGTTCAAGCAATTCTCAGGAGCCTCAGCCTCCTGAGTAGCTGGGATTACAGGTGCGCGCCACCATGCCCAGCTCATTTTTTGTATTTTTAGTAGAAGCGGGGTTTCACCATGTTGACCAGGATGGTCTCGATCTCTTGACCTTGTGATCCATCCGCCTCAGCCTCCCAAAATGCTTTAATGGTGGATTGCAGGTGTGAGCCACAGCGCCCGGCTACTTTTTGTATTTTTAATAGAAACCCAGTTTCGCCATGTTGGCCAGGCTGGTCTCAAACTCCTGACCTCGAGTGATCCACCCGCCTCAGCCTCCCATGAACCACTGTGCCTGGCCAGTTTCTGGCTATCTTTCTGTTGTTGATTTTTAATTTAATTCTGTGTGGTCAAAGAACATACATTGTATGATTTCAGTTCCTTTAAAGGTATTTGACTTGTTTTATGGCCCAACAGATGGCCTACCTTTTGTGACTGTTCTACAAGCCCTTCAGAATATGACTAGAATATCTGACGTGGGTGTAATATTCAAGAAGGGTCAGTTAAACTAAGTTTATTGATAAGGTTGTTCAAGTCTTCTGTGCCTTTACTGGTTTTCTCTTTACCTGTTTTATCAATTACCCTGAGAGGAGAGTTGAAATCCCCAACTGTAATTGTGAATTTCAGTAGTTCTTTCAGTTACGTTTTTACTTCTTAGATTTTGAAGCCGTTACTAAATGGATACACATTTGAATTTTTTTTTTTTTTTTTGGAGGGAAATAGGATCTTACTCTGTTGTCCAGGCTGAAGTGTAGGGGCTTGATCATGGCTCACTGCAGCCTCAACTTCCTGGGCTCAAACAATCCTCTCACCTTAGCCTTCTGAGTACCTGTGACCATAGGTGTGCGCCATCATACCCAGTTAATTTTTTATTTTTTGTAGAGATAGGGTTTCACCATGTTGCCCATGCCGGCCTCAAACTCTTGGGCTCAAGCAATCTTCCTGCTTCAGCCTCTCAAAGTGTTGGGATCACAGGCAAGTGCCACCTGCCTGGCCCACATTTGGAATTTTAAAAACTGTAATGTTTTCAACACAAAGAAAGGACAGGTGTCAACATATCAATAAAAAATAAGTTTATTCCTATAATCCCATCACTTTGGGAGGCTGAGAATTGTTTGAGGCCAGATGTTCAAGGCCAGCCTGGGCAACAGAGTGAGACCCTGTCTCCACAAATTTTTTTAAAAAAGTTATCCCAGCATGGTGGCATGTGCCTGTAGCCCAAGCCACTTGGGAGGCAGAGGCAGGAGAGTCCCTTGAGCCCAGGAGTAGAAGATTGCAGTGAGTTGTAATTACACCTGCACTCCGGCCTGGCTGACACAGCAAGACCCTGTCTCTAAAATAAGTAAATACATAAACACACAGACACACACACAGAGGTGCTCTCTCTCTCGCTCTCTCTCTCACTCTCTCGCTCTCTCTCTCTCTCTCTCTTCCAAATAGCTGGAAGAGAAGAATTGTAATGTTTCCAACACAAAGAAATGGCAGGTATCAAAACATCGATAAAAATGTATTTCAAAACAGAAATGTCTTTATCTTCTTGATGAAATGACTCTTTTATCATTATGTATGTTTGTTTGTTTTTTTGTTTTTGAGACAGTCTTGCTCTGTCACCCAGGCTGGAATGCAGTGGTGCAATCTCGGCTCACTGCAACCCACGGCTTCATGGGTACAAGCAGTTCTCCTGCCTCAGCCTCCCAAGTAGCTGGGATTACAGGCACAAGCCACTATACCCAGCTAATTCTTTTTTTTTTTTTTTTTTTTTTTTGTATTTTTAGTAGAGACAGAGTTTCACCATGTTGGCCAGGCTGGCCTTGAACTCCTGACCTAAAATGATCCGCCTGCCTCTGCCTCCCAAAGTGCTGGGATTACAGTTCTGAGCCACAGCGCATGGCCCCCTGCAGCTTTGAAGTCCAGGGCTGGAGTGGCCAGCAAGAGCACTGTATGAATTGGACAACTAAAGGAAACAAAGGATGATCAGGAGACTGTAGCAATAGCCCAAATAAAAAGTAAGGATCCGGGCCAGACGCAGTGGCTCACGCCTGTAATTCCAGAACTTTGGGAAGCCAAGGTGGGTGGATCACAAGGTCAAGAGATCGAGATCCTCCTGGCTAACATGGTGAAACCCCATCTGTACTAAAAATACAAAAATTAGCCAGGCATGATGGCACATGTCTGTAGCACCAGCTACTTGGGAGGCTGAGGCAGGAGAATCGTGTGAACCCAGGAGGCAGAGATTGCAGTGAGCTGAGATCGCACCATTGTACTCCAGCCTGGTTACAGAATGAGACTCTGTCTCAAAAAAAAAAAAAAAAAAAAAAAAAAGCTGGGTATGGTGGCTCAAATGCCTGTAATCACAGCACTTTGGGAGGCTGAGGCAGGCAGATCAAAAGGTCAGGGGTTTGACACCAGCCTGGCCAACACAGTGAAACCCAGTTTCTACTAAAAATACAAAAAATTAGACGAGAGTGGTGTTGGGTGCCTGCAATCCCAGCTACTTGGGAGGCTGAGGCAGGAGAATCACGTGAACCAGGGAGACAGAGGTTACAGTGAGCCGAGATCATGCCACTACACTCCTGTACTCCACCCAGGTGACAGTGCAAGACTCTGTCTCAAAAAAAAAAAAAAAAAACAGAAGTAAGGATCCTCCCATCCTCCCATACCTGAAACAGTTTTCAGACTGGGAAGGAAGGCTGGGTCCCCAAGAGAAGGATCTTGCAACTGGCAGCAAAAGTACATGGTAATGATTTCCTTCGCTCTCCCCAGAGAAACCTACAACATGTATTGGGTAATTGTACCATAGGGAGGGTGGAATACACACACATTTCCAGGACCATTGGACATAGTGTTGAAGCTCACATTGACCTGAGATCCGAGGTCATCATGGTGGTGGGCAGGTTGGAAGGAATCCTGGCCCTGCCTGGCTTGCAATGGGTCCGCTGGATGAGGGGCCACTGTGGCCACTTTTTTGGCCCTCAAACGTGTAATTGGAATATAGAGACTTGATATTTGGCACAGTCCCCACATTAATTCTTTGGCCTGTGGTGAGAGCTATCACAGAGGGGAAGGTCAAGTATAAACTCAACACTGCGCTCTGCCCCCAAGACAGCAAATCAGAGCAATCTGGAATCCCCGAGAGTGGCATAAATGGATACCACTCTTCTTTTTCCTTTTTTTTTTTGAGACAGAGTCTTGCTCTGTCACCAGGCACCAGGCTGGAGTGCCGTGGCGCGATCTCGGCTCACTGCAATCTCTGCCTCCCAGGTTCAAGCAATTCTCCTGCCTCAGCCTCCTGAGTAGCTGGAACTACAGGCGTGCGCCACCACACCCAGCTAATTTTTGTGTTTTAGTAGAGGCAGTGTTTCACTATGTTGGCCAGGATGGTCTCGATCTCTTGACCTTGTGATCTGCCCACCTCGGCCTCCCAAAGTACTGGGATTACAGGAATGAACCACCGTGCCCGGCAAATGGATGCCATTCTTAAAGACGTAAAGGTTACATCACATCTTCATTGAATTAGTCAGTTTACAAAAACCAAATGGACCCTAAAGGACTAGAGCAAACTCAGCCAAGTAGTAGCCCCCACTGCAGATATAGTGTCTCTTGGGTTTTTTGTTGTTGTTGTCGTTTATTTTGATAGTAAAATACACATAACATAAAATAAACCATCTTGGCTGGGTGCAGTGGCTCACGCCTATAATCCCAGCACTTTGGAACGCTGAGGCAGATGGATCACCTGAGGTTAGGAGTTCGAGACCATCCTGGCCAACGTGGTAAAAACCTGTCTCTTTTTTTTTTTTGAGACAGAGTTTTGCTCTTGTTGCCCAGGCTGGAGTGCAATGAAGCAATCTCAGCTCACCACAACCTCTGCTTCCCAAGTTCAAGCAATTCTCCTGCCTCAGCCTCCCAAGTAGCAGGGATTATAGGCATGCACCAGCCACCATGCCCGGCTAATTTTGTATTTTTAGTAGAGATGGGGTTTCTCCACGTTGGTCAGCCTGGTCTTGAACTCCCAACCTTAGGTGATCCACCCACCTGGCCTCCCAAAGTGCTGGGATTACAGGTGTGAGCCACCATGCTTGGCACCCTGTCTCTACTAGGATTACAAAAGTTAGTTGGGCGTGGTGGCGGGTGCCTGTAATCCCAGCTACTCAGAAGGCCGAGGCAGGAGAGTCTCTTGAACCCAGGAAGCAGAGGTTGCAGTGAGCGGAGATTATGCCATTGTACTCCAGCCTGGGCAACAAGAGCGAAATTCCATCTCAATAGATAAATAATAAAAATTAACCATTTTAACCTTTATTTTTTTGAGACAGGGTCTTGCTCTGTTATCCAGGCTGGAGGGCAGTGGGTGTCATCATGGCTCACCGCAGCCTCAATTTACTGGGCTCAAGCAAAACTCCTCCCTCAGCCTCCTGAGTAGCTGGGACTGTAGGCACACACCACCATGCCTGGATAATTTTTTTGACTTTCAGTGAAGATGAGGTCTCCCTATGTTGCCCAGGCAGGTCTCAAACTCCTGGGCTCAAGCAATCCATCCGCCTTGGCCTCCCAAAGTGCTGGGATTACAGGCAGCTGTACCTGGCCCATCTTAACCATTTTTAAGCATTATGCACATTCACCATTTTGTACAACCATCAGCGCCATCCATCTCCAGAACTCTTTTCCTCTTGCAAAACTGAATCTCTGTACCCAGTAAGCACCAACTCCCCATTCTCCCCACCCCCCAGCCCCTGCCAACCAGATTCGCAGATGTGGTATCTTTGTTAGGACAGATTAACTTGGCCTCAGGTGTATGGTCTTCGGCCATTGACTCAAACACAGGAAATGAGAACCCTCTGGAAGTGAGCTTGGAAATCTGAATTTCACAGGCTTCCCAAATAGGTATGAGAGAACAAGAAACAAAACAAACATTACCACAAATGACGAAACATTTGTGGAAATAGGTAGATTACATCCTGTAAGTATGAAGAGAATGGAAGGCATTTACCTTGTTATTGTCACTGGGGCAGATCCGGAGCCAGTTCGGGGCAGAGGTGGATTTACCCTGGAGCTGCTGAGGCTTAAGCTGGGGGCTGCTCAGGAGCCTGGATGGAGAGTAGCAGACGGTTCTGAGAGTGAAGGGGAAGCCAAGTTGCCAGCAGGAAGCATCCTATCAAAAGAGAAACCAAAAGGATGAGACGTGAATCTCCAAGCACCACTAAAGGATATGACTAATTTTTCATTCTGAATACTCATTTTCATACTTAGAAGTCTATATTCATAATTTTAGATTAGTTCTCCTACAGAGGACCTCAAAAGTTAGTTCCTACAAAACCTGGATCTGCCTCTGCTTGTGTGAGTCTGTGTGTGTGTGTGTATGTGACAGAGTCTTACTCTGTTGCCCAGGCTGGAGTGTAGTGGCATGATCTTGGCTCACTGTAACCTCCTGCCTCAGCCTCCCACATAGCCACCACCATGTCCGGCTAATTTTTGTTTTTTTGGTACAGCTGGGATTTCACCATGTTGACCAGACTAGCCTCAAACTCCTGGCCTCAAGTGATCCGCCTGTCTTGGCCTCTGAAAGTGCTGGGATTACAGGTGTGAGCCACCGTGCCCCACCTGGTGGGTTTTACACCTGGGGTTTTCACTTTGAAACTAGTTACACACACACAGCTCATTTTTGCGTTTTTAGTGGAGATGGGATTTCACCATGTTGACCATGCTGGTCTCAAACTCCTGACTTCAAGTGGTCCACCTGTCTTGGCCTCCCAAAGTTCTGTGATTACAGGCATGAGCCACCGCGCCTGGCCTGCCTCTGATTTTTGAGATCTGCAAAGGTTCATTCTTCTTTAAGATTGTCCTGTGCTAGGCTGGGTGTGGTGGCTCATGCCTGTAAATCCCAGCACTTTGGGAGCCTGAGGTGGGCAGATCACAAGGTCAGGAGTTCAATACCAGACTGACTGACATGGTGAAACCCTGTCTCTACTAAAAGTACAAAAATTAGCCGGGCATGGTGGCACACATCTGTAATCCCAACTACTCATGAGGCTGAGGCAGGAGAATTGCTTGAACCCGGGAGGTGGAGGTTGCAGTAAGCCAAGATCGCACCACTGCACTCCAGCCCGGGCAACAGAGCAAGACTCCGTCTCAAAAAAAAAAAAGGCCGGGCGCAGTGACTCATGCCTGTAATCCCAGCACTTTGGGAGGCTGAGGTGGGTGGATCACCTGAGGTCAGGAGTTCAAGACCAGCCTGACCAACATGGTGAAATCTCATCTCTTTAAAAAAAAAGATTGTCCTGTGCTGCCTGAGGTTGGTGAAAAATCCTAAATAACGAACACCAAGATTCGAAGCTCTCTGGTTCCCCCTCTGTGAACGAACCAGTGGTGGGCACATAGTCAGCTTGGAATCCTCTTCCTTCAGGCCTCACCCCCAGGTCAGGGAACCTCTCATTCCTGCATCTGGTCCTGGACCAGCTGTCTGGCTCCTGCTCCCTGCTGCCCCTCGGGTAACAAGGGGCACCTTGGGTAACAAGACATCACGTGTGTGGGGCGTGTTCTCCAGACCTGTTCTCACGCTCCTGAAACCATTATTGACTCTTACAGCTGCTTTAAGTGCCCCAGGCTTCATCAGAGCCTTTGAAAGCCCCAAGTGAAACTAGTTACTCAGTGGGAACCCTCAGTGGGTGGCTGCCTTCTCCCTGACACTGCGTGCCTGGGCAGCTCTCTGAAGGGCAGCTGCAGCCACTCGGTTGCACAGGGACACACACACACACACACATACAGGCACACCTACACACACACAGGCACTCACACTCAGCCCCCAAGAGACCCATCCACACTCGAAGGGGGCTCACACAAGTAAAGCTGGCAGAAACTGCATCATTGGCTGGGTTAGCTCCTCTCTACAATGGCTTTAGCAAGCTGGAATGTTTTTTTAAAGTACAGGCAGGCTAGGCAAGGTGGCTCATACCTGTAATTCTAGCACTTTAGGAGGCTAAAGTGGAGAAGGATCGCTTGAGCCCAGGAGTTCAAGACCAGCATGGACAACGTAGAAAGACCTAATCTCTACAAAAACTCAAAAAATTAGCGGGGGGGTGGCAGCGTGTGTCTGTAGTCCCAGCTCCTCAGAAGTCTGAGGTAGGAGGATCACTTGAGCCCAGGAATTCAAGGCTGTAGTGAGCCGTGATTGCACCACTGCACTCCAGCCTGGGGGACAGAGCAAGACCCTGTCTCAAAACAAACACAGGCACAGCCCATTTAATTGCAGTCCACTTTATTGCACTTCAGATTGCATTTTTTCACAAATTGAAGGTTTGTGGTAACCCCAGAGTCAAGCAAGTGTTGGCACCATTTTTCCAAGAGCATGTGGCCACTTAACATCTGTGTGTCACGCTTTCGCAATTCTTGAGATATTTCAAACTTCTTCCTTATTATATCTGTTGTGAAGCTGGTTCTTCCAGGCATTCCTGCAGGCTGTTCATGCAGTGCCCATCCGAGATGAACCCACGGGACACTCACCTTCAGGAGTCTGGGATCACAGGTGGGGCAGAGCAATTTGTCAATGTTTATAAAAGGAACCCTCCTTCGCAGCCCACTATTTATCCTCACTCTTGTGGAAATGAGATTTGACCTCTCCTAATCACCTGGTGCCCAAGGGACAGATAGGGGCCTGTCCCAAGCCCAACTTTCCTGGGAAATCTCCATTTTAGCACAGATAGGTTCCCAGGCAGCTTTGTGCTCTGACTATGCTCACGTCACTGAATCATTTCACTGGCTATTTTATTTTATTTTGTTTTTGAGATAGTTTCACTCTGTCCCCCAGGCTGGAGTACAGTGGCTTGATCTCGGCTCAGTGCTACCTCCGACTCCTAGGTTCAAGTGATCCTCCTGCCTCAGCCTCCCAAGTAGCTGGGACTACAGGCACCTGCCACCACACCCAGCTAATTTTTGTATTCTTAGTAGAGACGGGGTTTCACCATGTTGGCCAAGATAGTCTTGACCTTTTGACCTCACAATCTACCCACCTTGGCCTCCAAAAGTGCTGGCTGGGGTTACAGGTGTGAGCCACTGTGGCTGGCCTTTTTTTGTTGTTGTTGAAGATGAAGTGTCACTCTGTTACCTAGGCTGGAGTGTAATGGTGTGATCTTGGCTCACTGTAACCTCCACCTCCGGGGTTCAAGTGATTCTTTCACCTCAGCCTCCCAAGTAGCTGGAATTACAGGCACCAGCCATCATGCCCAGCTAATTTTGTATATTTGTAGAGACAGGGTTTCGCCATGTTGGACAGGCTGGTTTTGAACTCCTGACCTCAGGTGATCCACCCACTTTGGCCTCCCAAAGTGCTGGGATTACAGGCATGAGCCACTGCACCTGGCCTTGCCTACTAGTTTTATGAGGAAGTGACATGGGAGCCTTTTCCCCAGCTGGGGCAATCATCAGACAGACATGGAGTCACAGAAGCATCTCAGAACAGGCATCCCAAGACCTGGTCATTGGGCAGGATGTGGGACTGGTGAACGGTCATAAACGTCCCTTTGAATCAGTCTCCCTCCACACAGGAAAAGCCCACCATTCTGCGCTCACCTTCGGCCATCAGACAGGGCTCAGGGGCACCTGAGGAGCTGGTAGGAGGAGGTGCCTGCCACTGCCTGCGGAGGAGGATGTTGGCGTTCCTATTTCGCAAGTCCAGCTTGGAGAGCCAGCTTAGACCTTCTGGGCAGCTCTTGCACACCCCTGCTGAGAAACTCTGCCTTCTTGCCTCGGGTCCAGAACCTCACCCACATGGGCTTGCCCCCTCCCTTCCAGGGCCCACTGGCCTCCTGACTCAGGCTCCCCAGAGCACCTGACCCTGTGAGTCACTGGCCCATCTACAACTCCCCTCCCCCCACCACTGCTTGCATTGTAGCTCGATTGGATCCAGGTCAGCGAAAGTCACAGAACTTCGAACAGAGATGGACTCTCAGAAGTCAGAAGTGGCAAGCATGGCTGAAAGGAATCAAGGGTCCCCCTGGTTGGCTAGTTCTTATAGAATAGGTTTAAAAAACCTGTACTGAGAGTTTTTATGGGGACAAGGAGCCAGTCCTGTGCCTGCCTGATGTGGAGTCCTAGGTGGGCTTGGGCTGCGCTACCTGCTCCCAGAGACTCACAAAGGCAGTGCCAGCAGGTGCTCATCCTCAGAAATGGGGGAAAGAGAAACCTTCCCTCTCTCCTCTCCACACCTCCCCAGTATTTGTCCTCACGGAGTAAATATCCAAGTGATCCCAGGGCGTGGACATTAAGGCAAATGCCAGAGTGTCCAAGGCTCATTGCAGGGTCGTCCTCCCAGACCCCCTGCTCACTAGTCCACCATGTTCAGTGAGCACCCACTGTGCACCCAGTGCCTCGAGGAGCTTACGGTCTAACCCTCTGGGCCCAGGGAGGCAGGAAGACAGCATGGCCTTGCTGGGAGCCTCACCCTGTTTGCTTAACAATGACTTTTTCAATAATGCCCAGAGCTTCCTCCATATCCTGCCACCTAAACCAGGACCAAGGTCATCACGGGCTTGTGTGGCACAGTCGGAATTAGTGACCATCCCCACCCCCACATCGGTTCTGTCTTCTTGCCCCAGGTGCTCTGGTTTAGCACAGGCTGCTGATCTGGGGACTCGGGGGAGAATCCTCCCCTTCTGGCAAACGCTCAGCAAGTCCCGATGAAACATCCGGCTTCCAGCCTGGGTGTGGGTGCTTGGCTGACCCCTCATGATGAGAACAGCAGCCCCAGTTCCCAAGCAGTCGGCAGGGTCTGTGGACTGGCCGAGGGGCTACCACGGACGCCAGAGGCCGGAGCCACAGGGAGGCGAGGGCGGCGAGGGCATGGGCAAGGATGCGGGCTGTGGGGCAGACGCGGACGCTGGGGTGGGCGCAGATGGGCCACCGGAGTCACCAGCGCGCCCGCCATCGGGAGTGGCGCCCGCCGCTCTCCGCCACAGGTGCTCCAGCAGGCGCGCGCTCACGGCGGGGTCCAGGACACGGCAGGCGGGCAGCACGTGGGCCAGGCGCGCCACACAGGCGCTGTAGCCCTCGCGGTAGCTGTCACAAGGCACTGCGGGCGGAGAGCGGCGTGAGGCGCGGCGCGGGGTGCGGGGTACGGGGTGCAGGGCTCGGGACAGGACGGGGCGGGCTCACTCACCGGGCGCTGCCATGGGCCATGAGGACGCAGGCAGCTCCTGCAGGAAGCGCACGGTCATTTCCAGGACGTCCGCCTTCTCCAGCTTCGAGTAGCTGGAGTTCTGCGCCCGGCCACGAGGGAGAGGGACAAAGAAACCACCAAGACAGACATCTGGCCAGCTGCCGTGCGCACCGCGCTCTCGTTGGGAGCTGGGTGCGGGGCGCGCAGTGGCCTGTGGAGGGTCCGTTCCGACGCGCCTACCCCACCCAGACTCCGCCTCCGGCGCCGCGAGGAACCCCCTAGCGGGTTCCTCCCGCAGAAGCACCCGGTCCCCCCGCTCGGGCTCCGCGCCCCTGGACCCTCCGTCCTCAGCCCTCCCCCCAGGCGCGCTCACCTCCCGGCCCAGCAGCGGCAGGATGAGCCCCTTGAGCTGGCTCAGGCTCTGGTTGATGCGCGCGCGCCGGCGCTTCTCCAGCAGCGGCTTCAGGCTCTGCCGGTGTGCGGCGTAGTGATTAGACCGGTCCCCGGCGCCCCCCTCCCCGCCCCGCCCTGCCCCAGTCCCGGGTTCCCACCTTGCGCAGCTCCGCCGCGTCCCCTGCCCGGCGAGGTAGCCCCATGCTCCGCGGGAAAGCAGCGGCAGCTGCGAGCCCCACGCAAAGGGAAACCGAGGTCCGGAAGGAGGCGCAGAGCGCGGCCCTATCTGGTGCCAGAAGAGTGCGCGCCACGCCAGCGGCGGAACTTTAAGCGGCTTGCCCGCTCGGCCCCGCCCCACGGAGTCCGGCCGCCCGCGGGTCCCACCTCCCGCCTTTGTTCCTGCGCGGGGTGGAGCCGGGAGGGGAGACAGCGACGCCCCCGGGGATCCTGCTCTGGGCCTTCGCGTCCTATCTACCGCAGGGTGGCGGCCCCCGGCTGTCCACGAGCACCTGCGAGGGAGTGGCGAGGGCGTCATTGGGGGCCTTCCCTGCGTGACCCCGAGGGCAGGAGGGCCAGGTGGGGCCAGGCCTTGCTTGGCTCGAGCTGCGGTCCCTCCTCTCCAATGCAGCTCGTCATTAATTCCCCAGACTCGGGTTCAGCGTCCCCTTTGAGCTCCGCCCTGGGCCAGGGCGGGGGACCCAGCGGCTGCAGGACTGCCAAGGCCCGCAGTTCCGGGAGCTCTCACGAAGGACAGTAGCAGGAGGGACTCCCACCCACAGCTGCTCTATCGACGGAAGGGCTGAGCTGGACGGGGAATCCGAGGTCTGGAGAGAAGTTGTGACTTGCTCCAGGCCTCGACGCTGGGAACCGGACAGGACAAGGGCACCAGTCGCTAGACCCCCGGCTCTAAGGACCCCGTAGAATCCTCCAGCGGCTTGCCGAGGGGTCATCTGGTTACCCCACTCCAGGCTTTGGGTGGGGAAACGGAACCCCACTGAAGCAGAGGCAGCCCAGGAGCCCTCGGAGCTCGTTTTCATTCCCACCGGCTGGGAATCCGGGTTCTCGCCCGCAGGACAGTCAGGGCTCACGTGACGCGCTGGCGGGGCAGTGGTGGGTGCGGGCCCCCAGCTGCCCGCCTGGTGGGGGGGGGCCCAGCGGCCGGTCCAGGACCGCCTCCGCGCCGCGTGGCCGTTGCTGCAGCAAACTGGCTGGCGTCCCCCGCCCATCTGCTCTGGGCTCCCCTCTCCCGACAGGCTGGCAGGGCAACGGCTACGCCCGCGGACCGCATTGCAAACTGCTGGGCAGAGAGATGACTGGCCGGATCCACCGAGCCAGCCCGGAGGAGGCCCCATGGGGCGGAGTCAAGGTGGGCTCTGTCCAGGGTGCTGGATGTATCCCCGAACCCCACTTCCGAGCTCCATCCTGCAGCTAGCCCCAGGTCCCCCTCCCTCAAGGTTCTCCCAGCAGGGCGGAAGAAGACCAACGTACACACTAAGGGGCCCGGAGAAGCCTGGGCCAGGGGAGCCCGGGTCACCCATAGCTGACCGTGGTATGAGAAGGAACTTAGGCCACCATTCATGGACACTTACTGTGTGCCAAGTTCAGGACCTAATACTTTAAGGCTCACATCTGCATTAGCCCTCATAAAAGTTCTAACAAGTGAGAATAACTCATTCAACATATTTGGCCCAGCAGGGCCTGGAGGAACCTGAGACCTTGTCCTCCATGGTTGAGGCCAGTTTGCCTCCATTGGCCTCCCCCAAGACAATGACTTTTCTTTAAGAACTCAAAAGACTCTGTGGATCTTTTCCCTCCCATCCTCAGCCCAAGGCACCTAGCCTGGCTGACTCAGTTCTGCACCCACAAGCCAGCCACAAAATGCTTTAAAAAACAAAACAAGGCCGGGTGTGGTGACTCACAGCTGTAATCCCAACACTTTGGAAGGCCAAGGCAGGCAGATCATGAGGTCAAGAGATCGAGACCATCCTGGTCAACCTGGTGAAAACCCGTCTCTACTAAAAATACAAAAATCAGCTGGGCATGGTGGCATGCATCTGTAGCCAAGATCACGCCACTGCACTCCAGCCTGGTGACAGAGTGAGACTCTGTCTCAAAAAAACAAGGTTGGGTTTGGTGGCTTATGCCTGTAATCTCAGCACTTTGGGAGGCTGAGGTGGGCAGATCACAAGGTCAGGAGTTCCAGTCTAGCCTGGCCAACATGATGAAACCCCATCTCTACTAAAAATATAAAAAAACACAAAAATTATCCAGGCATAGTGGCAGGCACCTGTAACCCCATCTACTCGGGAAGTTGAGGCAGGAGAATTGCTGGAACCTGGGAGGCGAAGGTTGCCCTGAGCCGAGATTGTGCCATTGCAATCCAGCCTGGCAACAAGAGGGAAACTCTATCTCAAAAAAAAAAAATAAACCCTCCCCATGCCTCATTTTTCCCAGCCGTAAACTGAGAACAATAGTTGTGCCTCTCCCATAGCACCTCTGGATTAGATATCCAGGTGAAGCATGGTGAGCGTTTGGTGGGTGGTACAGATTTCATAAAAGTGCAACTGCTGCAACCCAGATAGCCCGATGGTTGTGGGAAAGCCCAGAGAGGATAGAAGCCTGGCAGGAAAGGCCTGGAGTTTGAGCCATGTCCTGAAAGGAGTCAGAGAGGTTGGCCAGCAGGGGTGGGTGCTCACAAGTGGCACTAATGGAGATGTCAATAGCAACAGTGGCAGTGGCTCAGGGGCATCTGCCCAGCCCACTGGAAGAGCAATAGAGCATCACCTGCACCTGGCCCACAAAATCACAAAACCATGTGCTAGATGAGCGTGTCCATGGCCAAGGTGGCCACCTTAGGCGTGGAGGACACGAATTGCAGGGCCTTTTAGAATGGAGGAGGCACAGGGAGGGGATGCCCAAGACAAGCCATTTTAGCACCTCCTTCCGACATACCCTGGCCTCATGGTACACCTGCCTCTGGGCACCTGGAGGAGGGTAGCACCAGCCACAGTGAGCCTGTTGCTCTGGCCACCACCAGCTCCAGCAGTGAGGCTGCCAGGAAAAGACTCCTCCCTCCCTTTGTCTGCAAACCACTGGGCAAGGGTCCCAGATCCCAGTGGGCCACAGGTCCCATGGAGAGAATGACAGTGATCTGGCCAGGTGGAAGTCGTTGGAAACCCACCTGGCTAGGCCCGGCCCAGCAGCTCCAGTTACCCGGGGCACCTGGGAGGGTGGGAGGCCACCACCCAGGTTGCCACTAGGTGGCAGTCCCAGGGAAGGGACCGGAGGCACCTCCAAGTTTAGCACTATGACTCCCACTGTTCCTGGAAGGGGCTTCCTTCATTCTACATCTCAGCGCTGACTGTGCCAGACTCGGGTTGGGGCTGAGTGAAACCTTCAGGCCAGGTGGGACCAGGCCCCCACGGGACTCAGAGGGGGTGGGTGTTGGGACAGGAAGGACACAGGAAGGGTGCTTCAAGGTCGCTGATAGGCAGCCTGCACTCCCACAGCTACTTAGTCTCCACCTTCTGGAAGCTTTTCCTCCCATCCTTCGGGCACTAGCCGCTCCCACGGCTGGTGTTCGGTGGTGCCCGCAGGGTGGCTTGGCACATATTCGCTCTCCAGCCTGTGCCCTCTGGCTCTTTCCTGCAGGGGTCTCTGTCCCCTCTCTATGGATGCAGGCGATCCAGCGTCTCCACACAAGCCCTACCCCCCTCCTCAATCCCTGCCTTTTGTGTGCCTGGAAGTCCCTCCATCCCGACAGCGGCTGTGGGCGGCCTCAGGCCGCGGCGTCTAGATGGAATTCCCAGCGCACCAGGAGTTCCTGTCCTGACCTCCCCGCTGGAAGCTCTGAGGCCCTTTGCACTCTCCAGGGATTTAGACCCAGAGCCCCTCAGGGACGCGGTAGGCCTGCTCCTGCCTCAGGGCCTCGCGCTCCACACCCAGCCCCACCGCACCTCCACAGAGACGTTTCCCTTACCGCCCACGTGGCCCCGAGGGTCACTCCCGTCACCTCTGGAATTGCGTCGCCAGCGCCTGGAACCGCAGTGAGCGGACACTGGGCAGATGAATGAATTTGTGCCTGGACGGCTCTCCAATTCGAACCCAGTTCTGCTGCCCTCTGAGGTCTCAACTGTTACGTGAGACAAATTAGGAGAGAAGCCCCTGGGCGCTCTGCCCCAGTCGCCGGAGTGTCCCCGCGGAGAGGCGGGGGCGGGCGGGGGACTCTGGCTGAGGCGGCCGGGCGGGGCGGGGCGGGGGCGGGTCCGAGGCTTAAGCCGGCGTCGGCGGGCTCCTGCCCCAGAGCACGGCGGAGCGGAGCGAAGCGCCAGGCAGTCCCGAGCAGAGGCCGGGCCCGCAGCCGCTCCGCCTTCCGGCCCGCAGAGCCCCGACGGCCGCACCGCGGGCTCCTCCCGCCCGCGAGGACACGCGCATGGCGTCCTGGGGGAGGCTCTGAGTGCGGGGTCGCGGCGCCGCAGGCCGCACCATGGCCCTGGAGCAGGCGCTGCAGGCGGCGCGGCAGGGCGAGCTGGACGTGCTGAGGTCGCTACACGCCGCCGGCCTGCTGGGGCCCTCGCTGCGGGACCCGCTGGACGCGCTGCCCGTGCATCACGCGGCCCGCGCCGGGAAGCTGCACTGTCTGCGCTTCCTGGTGGAGGAGGCCGCCCTCCCCGCCGCGGCCCGCGCCCGCAACGGCGCCACACCGGCCCACGACGCCGCCGCCACCGGCCACCTCGCCTGCCTGCAGTGGCTGCTGTCTCAGGGAGGCTGCAGAGTGCAGGTGGGTCCGCGCCGTTCGCCGGGGGTCCTGCGGCTTCCTTCTCAGGAGACATCCCTGGCCCAGAGCCCCCACGCCGGGGCTCAAGGATGGGTGGGGTTTGGCACCTCCTGGCCCAGCTGAGCCCTGCATGGAGCTCCTTCCAGAGGCCCTCAGGTGAGTGGGCTCCCTGGCTTGCGAGTACTCGGGCAGATGCCCTGGCGAGCCTGGGGGCTCCCTGGAAGCACACCTAGGTGATGGGAGCCAGAAGGGCGCTGCCTCCGTGGGGCTGGTAGTTACTAGTGCATACCAGGAGAGGGAAGGCACTGATCTGAAGTCCTGGAAGTGGGTGGGGACGTGAGGCCTGGGCAGCAGAGTCAGAAGCCCATGTCCTCCAGGGCTGGGTCTGAAAGGAGGCTGGGGAAAGTCCCACAGCCCAGGCAGAGCTACAGGTGACCCCAGCCAGTGTGTGGGGGAATGATGATGGGCCGTGGTAAATGGGGGTCATCGCATAACCCAGGCTGACCCCAGGACATCCGTGCTGTCAAGGCTCCCAGCTGTCAGCTGCTTCTCCAGCCCAGGCTGATTCTTGCTGCCCCCAGCCCCCACCTGGTCCCTCTGAGCAGTGACCTCCCACGGGCGTCCTGGCTGCTGAGAAGCAGATAGCCAGGCGACCTTCAGAGAGTTCCAAGCACAGGGAACAAGAAGTGCAGAGCCCTGAGGCCTGCACACTCCTGTCCTGTCGGGGGGGCTGGGGGCGGCAGCAGGCGGCCACGTATTCAGAGTGGTTGAGGAGGGTAGAAGCTGCCAGGGCCAGGCCAGAAGGTCTCCCAGGCCAAGGTTAGGGATTTGGATGAAATTCTGCTTGTGGGGACAGCCATGGAAGGGAGGAACCAGAACTGATTTTCCACTTAGACCACTGGGCTCCCTGGAGATGGAAGGGGAGGAGGCAGGCTTGCTATGGCCCGATGATGGCCAGGCCAGCCCACCTTCTGCATTCAGATAGAAGGCCCCCCACCCTTCCTGGGAGATGGCCCGTCCCATATCTCTCTGTGGGACCTGTTTTCAGGGCTTCCTGGCTACGTGGTCCATGCCCACTCTTTTGGGAGGTGTCATGCCTGCCTTATCTGGTGTCCAGGCCTAGCCGGAAGCCTCCCTTGCCAGAGCAGAGGAGCTGGGCAAAGCAGGTGGCCTTGGCCCCAGCTTATCAAGTCTCCTGCCCTCTGGGCCAGGCAGGCTTGGGTGCTGGGGGAGGAAGTGGTGGGGGGGATGACCTGGATCCTTGGGCTTCCCCAGCCCAGAGGGATAAGCTGCTTTAGGGTGTGGTCCACTGCATATGAGGCTCCTGGGGCCTGGACAGCTGTTGCTGCCTCAGGGACAGGCCAGAGCCCAGAGGCCTATATGGCCCTCTCCTTACAGTTTCCACCACTGAGGGGCCCAGAGCCAGTGAGACCCCTGGAGCCTCAGACCCTCAGTCCCCAAGGCCAGTAGGAAGGGAGTGCCTTTCTCAAGAGCTGGGGCTCAGGTCACATTTCACCATGGTTCTGCCTGGGTCCCCTCTAGCCAGCTCTGACCTTTGGGCTCAGAGCCCAAGATCAGAGTTTGGAACCAGTCTCTGGTCCCCCACCACTGGCTTTCTAGCACACAGAAGGGGCCTCAGTGTCCTCAGCTTCCTGTGGGCCATCACATTCTCTGCCCCATCTTCCTCCCTGCCTCCTGAGCAGGAGGCTGCCCCGCAGGCTCCGCAGGCTGCCTGATGACCCTGTCAGTGGCCTGGGGCCCCAGCTCCCTCCGTGCCCTCTTTCCCTGTGTTTCTCATAGGAGCCTCAGAGTTTCTCTTCCCATGTGATTCAGATTCCCGAGGCCTGGGGTCTCTTGCCGGCTCCTACTGCCTCTGCCACTCTGTGACCACAGCGCCCTCTCTCTGGGTACGGCAGGGCAGAGAGACTTCACTCCCTGACCCTAGTGAAGTGTGCCCACTGCCTCCTTCTGCCGCAACCCTGCCCACCCCTCTGTCGTCCATGTGCTTGGCTCTGGGAGGTTGTTCCATTCCAGAACTAGTACCCACTCGGCCAAGTGCAGCAGCCTCTGTGTCTAGACGTCTGGGTCCTTGGGGATTCTCCTCCCGGCCCAGGTCCCATAAGCACTCCCCTTCAGCCCCTTTCTCAGCAGACACACACATGGGGTGTGCACAGATGACACATTCAGCAGTTCTGGCCCCAAACCTCTGGCCCTTCCCACTCTGAGGTCCCTGGGGGAAGTTTTGTCCAAGCCTTCCCAGAGGCCACCACTAGCCTGCACCTAGCACCCCTGGCTGACTGACCTGGACCCGCCCACCAGCACCCAGCAACTTCCACCTCCACAGGGGCAAGAACACAGGCTGCTCCTGTGCGTGGGCGCTGGCAAGTCTGCCAGGGGAGGGGGCAGTTTTCTGCACTGAGGTTGGGTTGCTGGAGACGCCTCAAGGTGGAGGCTTCTGTTCCCATGTGACACCTAGGAAGGTAGAGAGAGAGGGGGCAAGTGTTGGAAGCAGGGGTTGCCCTTAGTCATGATGTGGCCCCACAGCCTCCTTCCTGGCCCTGCTCAGCCCAACAACCCTCTGTCACTCCTTCAGCCATTCCCTGAGCCCCGGGTGTCAGGGCTGCGGCCCTCGGCCTGGAGCCAGTCTCCTGCCATGGCAACCCGGTGCCTCTCACATGGACAGCCCACAGTCAGGACCTGCAGGCCTCTGAAAGCCGGGCACGGCGATGCTGCCTGTTGGCTATGGCTCAGAGAGGGCCACTTAGTTGCCCAAAGACAGCAGCAGGATTCAAACCGAGGATCCACTTGACCCCAAAAAACATTGCTGAGTGAGGCCTGGCCAATCTTTCCAGGGAAGGCAGAGAGCACACAGCTACCCCTGAGGCCTGTGGGAGTCTGGGAGTGGCCCAAGCCAGGGGCAGGGCAGGAACGGCCTTTAGGACTTGAACTGGCTCTCCTCCCACAGGACAAAGACAATTCTGGTGCCACAGTCTTGCATCTGGCTGCCCGCTTTGGCCACCCCGAGGTGGTGAACTGGCTGCTGCATCATGGCGGTGGGGACCCCACCGCAGCCACAGACATGGGCGCCCTGCCTATCCACTACGCTGCCGCCAAAGGAGACTTCCCCTCCCTGAGGCTTCTCATCGGGCACTACCCTGAGTAAGATCACCCCTCTTAAGGGGTCTTCTGGTTGGGCTGGGCCAGGACTTTGGGGGATGCCTGGGATCTGCCATGCCTCTCTGGCACTCCAGGGCAGTGATCCCTCCAGTGGCCATCCTGGTGCCAGAGGGCCAGGCCAGAGAGACGGCTCCCACTCAACATGAGATTTCTCCCCTCCTGGAAAACCCCTTCTGAGGCTGCTCCCAGAGTCCTGCAAGCAGGTGCCACCCGCATCCTCAGCCGGCCAGCTGCATGCAGCTGGACTTGGGAGGCTGGGCACGAAAGCCAAGGTCACCTATTTCCCTCAGGCTGCTTCTGTAGCAGGAGCTCTCTCTGGCTCAGGCTGTGCTCATTTGCAAGGTTGTTCAGGATGGAGTGGGAGACAGCAAGGGCAGGAGCGCCTTCTAGAACCTAGTCAAACAGGTGGAAGAGGAATCCCATCAGTTACCAAGCAGTTAAGAGAGAACTGCCCCTCCCAGACCCCCACCCCACCTCCTGGCCCCAGAGCCCCTGGCTGGAGGCCATCCAGAGAGCAGCCTGTCATCTCCTGTGGCCCCCTCAGCCATTCCCACTACCAAGGGAAACATGGGGCTCCCAAACCTCCTAGGGTGTGGGCTGGGAGCTCCCCTGGGTGGGGTGGGGGCTCGTACAGAGCAGGGGTATGTGTGAGTCTAGGGGAGGGAGGGAGGGACTCGGGTCTTAGATGCGCTTGGGGAGGCAGGGATCCGGGGAAAACCGCCCAGGCCCTGAGAGGTTGGGGTACCAGATGCCACAGGGGCCTGAGTGGGGAGTGGGGGGCTCTGACCAGTGACCCTTGTTAGTCTAAGTGGGAGCCTGGGATATAAATGTGGATGTGGACCCAGCCTCAGAACGAGAGCAGCTATGAGGTAAGAGGGTCTGGCCTGTCCCCACCACTGGTCAGTTCCTGGGTATTCCTGCAGGGCCCCTGGCCACCAGGGAGCAGGCTGGAGGCCAGTTCTCACCATGTGGCCATGTGGCAAGGTGGCCGCAGCTACAGCCTCTCGGGCCCATACACACTGGCGTGGATGTAGGGTGGCCCTAGGACCCACCAGGCTGGGCTCCAGTTGTCCCCTCGGCCCAGGACAAGGGAGCTGGGCCTGGCTCCTCCCTAAGAAGGGGCTCCCTGGTTTGGTTAGTGGGAGACCCAGCAGGTGCTGCCTGGGGAGGGGCTCTTCACAGCACAGCCAGCCCTGCCAGGCCTGCTTGGTGGCCGGTTTGGTATGAATTCACTGCCTCCAAACAAACTAGGGTTTGGATCATGTCAAAGTCAGTGGGATTTAGAGTAGGAGAAGCCCAGGGACCCCTGAGTAGAGGATCCCATCTGGCTCCTGGCAGCACCTCTTGGAGGCTGTCCCAGATTCCTGAGTTAGACTCTCCAGGTTGGGGCCTGGGAGCCACATGTGGGACATGCCCCCATCCTCACAGTGGTGATTCTGATGCATCTGTCCCACCCCCTCACTTCAAGCAGAGGAGAGGGACAGGTCTTGAGAGGGGAAGGTGCCCCTGATGGCGGGACCAATATGACCCAAGTGTGAACTGGAAGATGCTGAGCCCCCCTTCTGCAAGTGCTGGTGGGGCCCACCACCCCAGGCCTTCCTCACTGAGAAGGCAGGTGTAGGATGCACAACGATCCCCCTGTGGGCTGTGCAGTGGAACGTTCTCCAGGTCTCCAGGCCTGGGGGACCCTGGCCCCTTCCCAGGCCATGACAGGTGCTGGATGTGATTGGGCACTGGTGGTGACTCAGTGGCCAGATGGCCTGGACTGATGAGCCGCCAGCCCCCCAGGAGTCACCATGAATCTCAGGAAGGTAGACAGAGGGCTTGGGCTCTGTTCCCCACAGCCGCGTGTGACTCAGCTGATAAGAAGGTGTCTTTGTGTGGTTGCCAGGCTGGGCTCCAGCAGGAGGGGCGACTGGGAATTGGGGTTGGGGGATGGTGTACCCAGTTAGCCTCCTACCTCGGGGGTAGCGATTCCTACTCCCTCAGGCTGTGAATATGAGGGCTGGGAGCTGGGGAGAGCAGAGGCTTGAGCTGCCCCAGGCCACAGGCCCCAATCAAGGGACCCAGGTGGCCCAGCTTCATGCTCTCGATAGCCTCTGGGGCCTGATGTGAATTGCTCTGAATTATTCACAAGGCTCAGCTCTCTTGTTGGCGAGGGTGAGCACTGAGGGAGGCAGGGCTTCCGGACCTGCTGTTGGGAAACTCTATCCTGCCCAGGGGGGCTGTGGGCAGCCATGGGCCATGGAAGTGACATGCTGCAGAGGAGCTGGAAGGCTGGACAGCCTCGGGGGAGCCCAGCTAATTCCTGGGCTACACCTTGGGGGCTTATAATAGAAAGGACTTGAGATTGCAGGAAGTCTTGCACATCCCCCCACTTCCCCATCTATCCCCTTCATGGGGTCAAGTCTTCCCAGAAGCAAAGGAGTTGTCACAGTGACCGTAGGGGCTGCTGCCACATGTGACCCTCCCTCTGAGCCCCTATAGAAAAGGGATCTCTCAGTTGGGAGGCATGGGGCTGGCAGGAGCTGGGCTGGGGATGTTGAAGCCCTAGGTCTCAGGGAGATCCAGTTGGGAGGATTGGCCCTCCTGGGCAGGAGGTCCAGTGACTGATGGAGGGGAACAAGGAGTCCAGACTCCCAGTCAGGCCAGATTGAGAAGGCGCAAAGAGTAGATGCCCCTCAAGGCTGGTGGCCACCCTCCCAGGAGGGTCCTGGAGCCCAGGAGCTCACTCTGCTTCCCCCACGCCTGCTTCTGGCTGCCACAGGGCCTGAGCAGCTGGGCAGGGCTGTGGGAGGCAGAGTGGGGGAGCCAGGGCTCAGCTGGGAACCTCAGGCTTGAGCTTCCAGGCTGGAGAGTGGGGAGGCTCCAGGCTCTTCCCTGGGCCCTGAGTGCTGCCAGTCACAACAAGCCGAAAAACCAGTTAGCCCAGAGATTTTATCAACTTCACCAGGTGGCTCCTTCCCCCAAAGCCTCCCCTATACCCAACCAGACAAGACTGGGGTGGGGTTGGAAAGTACCGGTGGCTGGGCACAGTGGCTCACGCCCGTAATCCCAGCACTTTGGGAGGCTGAGGCAGGTGGATCATCTGAGGTCAGGAGTTCAAGACCAGCCTGACCAATGTGGTGAAACCCTGTCTCTACTAAAAGTACAAAAATTAGCTGGGTGTGGTGGCACATGCCTGTAATCCCATCTGCTCAGGTGGCTGAGACAGGAGAATTGTTTGAACCAGGGAGGTGGAGGTTGCAGTGAGCCAAGATCATGCCATTGCACTCCAGCCTGGTGACAGAGCGAGACTCCGTCTCAAAAAAAAAAAAAAAAAAAAAGAGGGGAGGCAGAAGAGGGGAGGGGAGGAAAGGGGAACCTGGGCCAGGAGTCAGAACAAACCCAGAACAGCTCCTGCCTGCTGAGTACCTTCTAGGGGCCTGGCACCACCCAGTGCCATCTGAGCCACACAACCACCCTGAGCAGTAGCAGTGTAATCAACCCATTTACAGATGGACTCATTCAACTAATGTTTATTGAGCAACTTCCATGGAGCAGGTGATATTCTAAATGCCAGTGATATGCTGGTGAACCACGAGGCTCTCTGCCTCGTGGAGCTGACAGGTTCAGAAATGGTGTTTTAGAGAGGCTGATCCACCAGCTGTGGTCACCACTGGCTTGCTGTGTGACCTTGGGCAGACTGTACCTCCTCTCTGGGTCTCTTTCCCACTCCTGGTCCAGGTCCTAATCGCTCAGGGCCTTTCAAGTTCACTGAAGACTTCCCCTTTTCCCTTCCTTTGTGCAGAGCTTCACAGTGCCTGGCTGCTCCACAGCCCAGCTGAGCCTGAGGGGTTCAGGCAGCCCCCGTCTGGGACAGAAAGGAGGTTTCTTGGGAAGCCCCAGCAACTCACAGCTTAGGGAGCCCCAGGGCCCAGGGCTCACCTCTCCCCCTTAGAAGGCTGGAGGCTCTGCCTAGGCCGGCCCCTTTCCTGCTAGGCCCCTGCTTCTGTCACAGGCCATGGGCCGTTGGGTCTCACTCCTTTTTAATCACCAGCCCCTGTCGACCTTTGGTGTCTGTCAGGTCATCTGGCATTGGGGCCTGGGGGCAGGGCCTGTGTCTATAGTGGGGAAGTGGTTACCATCCAGGTGGAGGCTCTGAGAAAGGAAGGACCTGGTAGAGTCAGGAGAAGCCCCTCACAGCAGGTGAGGGCACAGACCCCCATCTTATGTCTCCACTAGCAGCTCCTGGTGTCAGCTGTCATCTAACTGGGGCTGGTGCCCCTGCCCTACTCATCTAAAGAGGAGAGCTGAGCCTTGAGCCCTGGGGCTCTGTAAGCGGTGAGCTGCTGGGGCATCCCAGGGCTTTCAAGAAACCCCCTTTCTGCCCCATGATGGGGCTACCTGAACCCCTCGGGCTCAGCTGGGCCATAGGAGCAGCCACACTCTGTGAGGCTGTGCACTAAGGAAGGGAAAAGGGAAAGTCTCCAGTGAGCCTGAAAGGCCCTGAGCGGTTAGGACCAGGACATGGCCTTCTTCCGTCCAGCTCCACCCACAGCCTTTGAAAATACAAGTCCTGGCCGGGCGTAGTTGCTCACACCTGTAATCCAAGCACTTTGGAGGCCAAGGCAGGTGGATCACATGAGGTCGGGAGTTCAAGACCTGCCTGACCAACATGGTGAAACCCTGTCTTAAAAAAAAATTTTTTTTTAAATACAAGTCCCGCCAAGCACAGTGGCTCACGCCTGTAATCCCAGCACTTTGGGAGGCAGAGGTGGGTGGATCACGAGGTCAGGAGTTCGAGACCAGCCTGGCCATATGGTGAAACGCTGTCTCTACTGAAAAATAAAAAAATTAGCCACGCGTGGTGGCTCGCACCTGTAGTCCCAGCTACTCAGGAGGCTGAGGCAGGAGAATCACTGGAACCCTGGAGGCAGAGGTTGCAGTGAGCCAAGATCACACCACTGCACTCCAGCGTGAGTGACAGAGCGAGACCCCAT